TTATCCTATATGATGATCATTCTAGGAAGAATTGTCGATTCTCGAAAGAATCGAAACCTAGAATGGCTTTGTTGCATATATTTTATACGTTAACTAAATAAATGTTCCGGTTGCTCTTTAAAGTAGGGTTTAAAGGGACTCAAAGGAGGTTCTTTGACATGATTGAATTTGATTTTAAACCATGAAGGTGTATAAATCCTGGCATGTTTAGATTTTTCACTGAAATCAAGACGACACTTTATATAAAGTAGCTACACCAATACAACAGAAATAATACATATAAAAAGTAACAAAAAACGAAAAAATGTTTTACTCTTGGCTCAGATTGACAGAAAGTATGTATAAACAAAATCCACAATTTTCATGTTTAAATGTTGAATTCTGCTTACGTCTAATCTATGAGCCGGCAATATTTCAATTTTGCCGTTTTGGGCATTCTTCCGGGATTCTGTTTTTGTCTATATTGAACCGTGTTGTACCATGTTGTTGCAATGACATGCGGGTAGAGAACATAGTCTGTAGTCATTGAAGATGAAAGGCAATTTAAAAATATTGGCATACTGAACTTGACTTTTGACATTCAAATAAAAAAAAAGACTTATCGTCCATAAAGGTTTACACACATACTTTTTTTTATCAAATTATATACTTAAACATCTAATGGTCAATTACATTGTGCAGATTCTGTTAGAAATTTTGGGATATCGCAAGCCTGACATAGATTTATTGTTAATAAAGAAATAGTTTGAGCTCATGATGTAATTCAGTATACCTAAACATTGTGTACAATTCTACATAACATGTTGCTTATACCATTTTTATTATATTTTTGATAAAGATCCTTTTGTTAAAAAGAACTTCACTTATATTTATTTAGTAAAGGGTGTCCATTTTGAAATCAAAGACGGCCACCATTGTAGTCAATTAGTAAATCATGTTAAATTATCATTCATAAACGATTTTATGTCAAGTGGCTTAACTGGAAAACATTACACAATATGAAAATAGTAAAGGTCAATGGCGGCCATTTTTATTCGATCTTTAGAAGATCAAGGACTTCGAGTACAGCCGTGGTATGGCAAAAAATGGATTCAGCGTACCTGAATTATGATAAAAGGATTGACTACCTGATTGTACTAAAATACCGTTAGACTTTAAACGGAGGGTCTTTTTTAAAAAACAAACCCGTCTAGCCAAAGTCACTTCAAATTAAACATCCAAAATACTGATGTGAATATTTGAATGTGTTTTTAATGAGTATCACTTTGACGGATATTTTTCATAACTTGAATTTTCTACGAGAATATTGACAGAAAATAAACAGAAGGCTAAAATCAATATCTTAACAAAAGGCTCTGAATAAATCATTTCTATTGGAAGATGGTCTTAATATATGTAGCAGATACGTTCATTAGAAATTATTTATTCAAAGCCTTTCGTTTAGATATTGATTTGCACACATGAGTTATTAGTCCAGACCTACATCAAATAACAAACACATCTCGGAAAAATATTTTCAGTCCCATCATGTCAAAAAACCTCAGTTAAGTCCCTTTAAAACACTACTTAAAAGAGCAACCGGAACATTTTATTCAGTTAACGTATAAAACATATGCAACATATGCAACAGAGCCATTCTAGGTTTCGATTCTTTCGAGAATCAACAATTCTTCCTACAATTGTCATACCGAATATTAGAAACAAGATCATTTTACTGTTGAAAGAAATGATAAAGAATATTTCATAACATGAACCTTTATACCATTGGAGGAAAATTATTGTTTGATTTCTTTTAGAACGAATCGTTTCAAAATGCTTGTATGAAACTTAATTGAAAGGCATTATATAAGCATCAGGCTTTAATATTTTATTCCGGAACATTTTATTCCGTTTACATACATTATTCCTCTTAAGTGTCCAGCTTTATTTGTCATCCAATGAAAACGCTCCATTTCTTATAAATTATGTTAATGTTAATGTTATGTACACGTTAAAAATAACATTGGTATATTATAACATTTCCCTACTTTCTAAATTTGTATAATGCACATCGATTCAGAATTTAATAAAGTTTTGAATCTTTTTACTAGAGTTTCAAGATGTCGTGCAAATCAATATTTGTCACTGCATGTATTGCCTTAAAAGATAAATTATGTGTAACGAAATGAAGAAATGTGCAGTCTGTCGAAACAAATAGGTGTTATGATGGGCGTCACATTACAACACAAAACATCTGTTTTCATCGTTTCAATAAAACTGTGTTATAAGCTCTACGGTCGTAAATGTGTAGACAATTCCAAGATGGCGGACTGTCAAAGTAGTAAAGGTAGTTGTCACCTTTTCATTTGTAACAATTTTACTTCAAAATGTCTGATTTTAATTCATATAGTAAAATGTATGGTGAACGTGTTCAGCTTCAGAATCATATAGTGAAACTCAATTGTCATTATCTTTTGTAATATCTTGCACTTAATATTGCCACATGTTGAAATTAAAAGTTTAAAAGTGGATCTCGCGTTGTTTGTAGTTATCAACATTTGTTTAATAGGCTTATGCTTTGTTTTCGGTGCAATTTGTTGAGTCAAAACATTTTAACTCATTCTTTACGTTGGTTGAATTTGTTTTGCAAAATCTGTCTAAATGTATAGTAATATAAAAACTGTCAAACACGTTTTTTTCAAATCCTCAATGCAGCTGTAAGTAACAGATATTATAAATATATTTATGGATCTAAACCGTACAGAGATGAGTTTTTTCTGCGTTTACACCGTTTCTAAAGCACATTGAGAGTAGAAATGAATTATGCACGATTCAGATAATGTTTTGTTTATGATGTAGTATTCGAGCTTTGCCACAGGATATAATGGATACATTGCATGGCATTATTGACACAGTGGCGTCCGTGGCAGACTGGTTAACCTTTGTAAACATTAAACTAACAAGAAGTATCTTTAAAAAAGATACTCGGACGAACTATAACTAGTTTATTTGCATATCGTATCTTAGGAAACATGGGACATAGAATCATAAGGATTAAGATATTTAGCCTTTAATTGGATTTTACTTTTATACTTTTGAAATATTAAAGTCATATGCATATGTTGACACATACAAAGTATTTTAAATATTAACAAAATGTAAAGTCTGAAGTAAATCCTTTAAAAGTAAAGAAGAAGTAAATCAGAACTACAAACAAAACAATTTATTTCGTACTCATTTTATTCTTAACGTCATGTATTTTTTTCTATCATTGTGAATGTCGTTTAAGCTCAAAGACAAAGCTTTTTTTTCTAAAATAGTTTGACAAATATTTATTATAACGAAACAATTCAATCGTTAGAGGTTATATAAATACTTCATAAGTATGTTGAAAACATAAAAATTATAGACTTTGTATATAACTGATAATACCGCTTAGTTCGTTTTCTTGTGCGATTTTCGCTACTTTCATGCGCATGTGTAAACACGGTCGTGGATGTTCTTGTAAGTGGTGGTTTCCTTAATGTCTGACAAAATTTATTACTCGTTAGAGCAGCGTTAAATAATCTGTAGGATGATACTTGGCAATATAGAACTAAACATGTGTAGGGGAAGGCTTGGTTAAACAGAACTTAAGTATCTGAAATTTAACGTGCTAGTAAAAGGAATATAGATAGTTCGTTTCCAGACTCCTTTAGAACAATAAAATATTAGACGCATACACCATGTCAATAAAATCCTTTTATGTATTCTTCAAATTTTACAATGGCCAATAAGATTCTGAGATTTCAGATATTTATTTTAAAATGAACAATGCAATTCGGCTGGAAGAAAACGTAACAAGCACATGTACAATAAAAATGGAAAAACAGGAACATTTGAAGGTTTATTAATTTTATGTTTTATTATTCATTTTCCAAGTCTAACATAAGCCTTCGTCAACTGTAAATTTGCTTAGATAACAGCAATCATCATGAAATAACATAAGCAAGTAAAAGCAGTTTACTTTGGCCGAGTAATTTTATACGATACTTCTTGTTTAACGTGATAATCATGACCGGGTATGTCTGAAAAAAAAACAGACCTGTGCACGTGCAAAAGATAGACCTCATAACAGATTTCTTTCTTTGAACAGGTGTATCCGAAAAAATAGACCTGTCACAAACAATTGAGAAGGTTTGTAATTTCTTTTTAAGAGGATATTTAACGCAATAATGTAATGTTTCCTATGTAAAATTCAAATAATATTGTTGAATCATTGGTTAAATTCCGAATAGTTAATGATCATCCCTCATTTATGATTCATGTGCATATTTGCTGTTCATTGTGCATACATATATCAAATAACAAATCGTAAAAGGATCCAATGTTTTCAACCCCATATTATCCATTTATGTAATTCTCTCATGCATAAACCTAGGTTGTCACGTTGATCTGTAAAAACAGGTGATATCGGTTTAAGCTAAACTGAGTTAGAAAAAATGCAGTAACAGTTAATCGAGGTTTATTTTGTCAAAGATGGGAAAAGAGAGTTTAAATTTGATTCTAAATATTACCTTTGTTTTTTTTCTAATAATATTTAACACTTTGATTTGTAATTGTACTAAAGAATTAATTGTTCGATCTGATACGGATAATATACGGCCCTAGCACAAAAACTGTAAATAAATTGTAATACCTTGTCATAAAGAAAAAATGATGTTGAAAATTTTAGTATTTTATTAATACGATCGGTTAAATGTTTAAGACCGTTATTATGTCAACGTTTAAAAGCTGCGCAGTTTTGTTTACCGTGATATCACTAATGTGAACATTATTTATCTCGTTGATGAGGAAAGCGCAGATTTTTTAGCTGAATTTTCTTTTCATTGTCTTTGCTGTTTGAGAATGTTATTCATGGCTTTTATTTCTAGAGAAATTATCAAATAGATAAGAAATATATTGACACCAATAAAAAACGATGTCGTAAAACGATTTGCAAAGTTTGAAGAGCACTTTAAAAAATATGTGCATGTTCTTACCCTATAAGGAGACATCAGCTTGTCATTTGATATCCTTGTTCCTTTCACCAATCTCATATTTGCCTATCAAATTTATAGAATGAAAATGAATTTGACTTAAAATAGACATAAGGACACTTATTTTCCAAAATTAATAAAACGCAATCTTGCTTTAATGCAAATATTGAGAAAAATATTTATCTATCAATAAACATCATATAAATGCTTATGCGAAACATTGTTTCTGGTTTAGTTTTAACAAATCCTCGAAAGATAAATAATTGCTTGCAAAATGTTTAGGGCATTATATTTGAAATGGTCTATTTGTAGTTGATAATGCAACAAAAAAGAATAAAAACCCGTTTTTTATTCTTACACAAAAACTCTTAAATTTCCAACCCTTCCCCTTGTTGGGTGGATGAGGAGTCTTTTAGTTGTTGTGTTTAAGTAAAATTACCTGGTGGGATTCGAACCAACAAGGGTTAATAGCAAGTAGGAACAGGAAATGACCTTAACTATACAACCAAGACACTAAAGCTTCATCTTCAAAATGATGATTTAACAATTATTATAGTGCCAAGCTTATTTTGAAACTACTAAGTACATTTTATATCGATCTGATAAAATAAATTGCAAATTGTGTAACTTATGGGGATTCAGCTTTGTCAGCCATGTTTGTTTTTACTGAGTAGGTCCAAAGTGAAAGTATGCCAAAATTCATTTAACAACAAAGCTAACAATGTAAAATGATGAACCATTTGCAATGACACTCCCAGGTCTATGTTTTAAGGACTGTTTTAAGGTCAAAAACAAGATTGTATTTGTGAAAAATGCGACCAAAAACAAACTGTTGCAAAGTTTCAACCCAGTTTAAATTCAGTTTTAGTGCAGACGAATGCTATTTGTAGCAGCAAATACAAAAATTTGAAAACTTAATTCCAAATAAAGGGGTATCTCATGTCCTTCTAAGCACATGGTCTCCATTATTGTTTGTAAAAAGTAGTGCAAGAAGACAATCACAATTTATAGCCTTATGAACTACAATTAAAAATGAAAACACATTCAAATTTTAAAATTTAACATTTAACAGTAAAGTGTGTCTGTCTGTCATGTACACATGAAATAGAAAAGATGTTTATTTCACTGGTACAATTTTATAACACATGACATGCAGGCCATATTTTTTCAAGGTAGATAAACTTCTTTCCTTAAATATAAGTTTTTGCAAGATTTTTGTATTTGCTGCAAAAAAGCATTTGTATGTTCTTAAATTGACTTTAAACTGGATTTTACCATTTATGAAATGTGCATAAAACTTTGCAACAGATTGTACTTGATCTTCAGAAATTAAGTACATTCAAGGTAAATATTCTTATTGTTATCTTTTTTAATTTTGTTTATAAAAGTCCTTAAAACATAGACCTGAATGTTTACTTTCAAATGGCTCATCATTTTACATTGTGAGCTCTGTTGTTATATGAATTTTGACCTACTTTTACTTTGGATCCACATAGTAAAATCAAACATGGCTGACAAAGCGGAATCACCTTAAGAAGGGAAATGATATTTTACATTATTTTTGTTTTTGTTTACAACTATATGTTTACTGTCGGAAATATAAAGAAAAAACTTACCTTGTTTGTAGACACCTTCCAAATGTACACAATTAAGTATGTGCCGTGTGCAAAATCGTAGCTATTGATTTTGCACATGCGCTTTAGATATTTTCGAAAATGAGGGTTATACAATAAGTTATTTTTGATCATCGTAACCCTTTACGCTTTACTTAAAAATTTACGTTGTTATTAAAATATAAGGCAAACATATCTCAGGTAATGTTAACAGCATTCTTATCAATTTCTATTTTCTTAAGCCAGCACAAGACAGTGTGATATAATGTTTTTGATATTTCTAACCTGGTAACTTATCTTTTTGAACGAAGTATTATTTGATAAACACGGCAGAAATTTACACGAATACAGTAAACTCCGCGTATAACGAACTCATTTGGGCATTCAAAATCTGTTCCTTATATCCGGAGTTCCTTGTAAGCATATAGCGAATTAGTTCTTTGTATCATGAGTTTTTATAGCGAACAGATTTACATATAACGAACTGATTGTTTACCATTGTCCGCCATTTTGAAGAGCATTTGATTAAGAAAAAATAGTCCATTGTTTCTATTTTAGACACAATACCCGAGAGCGTACTTTTTGGAGTTTTGAAAATCATTGCTATTTCAGTTTTAGTTTTACTCCCTATCTCAATTTCTCATAAAATATAATATTTTGTTTCTAAACTCTTTTTATTTTCTTTCCATGATTGAGAATAAACAAGATTTTCGATTTTTCCTTCCTTTTATATTGAATATCTTCTATTATAATTCAAGGGTGACTTTTAGTAAAGTAAGATATAGATTTCTTTTCATTTAAATCAAGCGTACTGTACAGTTTGCAATGGAGCATGCTTGCAAGCATGCGTGATTATGTTGAAAACCGATTATAAATTATTATAATATTTTTTACTCGAGCAAAACTATTGAAGTAAAGAAATAAATAACCGTTTTATCTTGGTGAAAAGAGCTCATGCTAAAAATATCCTAAATAGAAAACTATACAAATTCATTTTAATAGATGTATTGAAGTACATACAACAATAAACGGTACATTCGGCCGAGTTTTAATCCGTGCCAATGAAAACAAAAGTTGAAAATGCGGGATCTATTTACGGGTAGCCAATATTTTTCTAGAGTTCGTTATAAAAGTGTAATTTTCTGTACTTTTTACTAAATTGGGACTAAGAAATGACTTCCTTATAAGCGATAATTCCTTATAACCGTGTTCGCTATAACCATATATTTTTATATTAAATAAAGAAGGGCAAAAATCGGGCCAAAATAAATTGTTCCCTATAACCGGAAATTCGCTTTAACCGTGTTCGCTATAAGTGAAGTTTACTGTATACATATATATTAAATGAAAAATACATAGGGACAATTCCGCGCAATTTAAGGATATCGCAAACGTGTCTCTAGGAAGGTTTTACATTACAAGGGGTGACACGGTTAAAAAATGCACTAGGTAACGGGTTAAACGGTGACATAATAAACTGTGGTAATTGTTGAAACGACCGTGATAATAAGATCCTTAGATGTCTAACATTAAGATGATTACGGTGCAATCCAATGCGAATTTTCTGCTTAGGTCGTAACGTATCACGATGTGGACGAAGAAAGCAAATTTGAGTGGCTCTAACTGTGCATATGTATCATGGTGGACATATAAAAGGCTAACCTCAGACCATCTTCCACGTAAATTCATATGTGGATCGGATGCCATCGTTTGACCTTGTGTAGGAATCGTACTTGCTTCGGCTGTGTATTGGCTGTCGAGCAATTTTGGGCAATCTTCGCTCAAAATTCCATATTCGTATACCCATCTGGTGTCAATTTCGGGACAGTGTGGCCCCTGCCTGAAGAGGAATCAAGAAGTTCCTCTATTCATAAAATTGAGGAGTAAATATTTTCTAATCAAAGAATTATTCTTTTTTTTTACTTATCGCGAAATTATTTAACTTTTTAAAACACGCTGACTTGCTTTTTCAAATTTACTCTGAGCATTTGATAATTGTAGTCACACTTGCCATAGCTTTCGCAGAAGAGGTGGATCCATCGCAGCGCCGATGGAGTATTTGTCGCAGTTGAATAAATGAGCGTCTAGTAATCTTTTGCTATTGTCGGTAAGTTTATAACTGAATTTATTTTGTGTTTTAAAGGAAGCAACTAGTGAGACAGAAGTTCACATAATTATTCCTGCATATCATGTACCTTTCCATCTTACTTGCATATGATGTAATTCATTGCCAATCACGCAAATACTTCTGTACAATTTTGCCAATGAATCTTACTTGCAAAAAAAAACAATCATATTTTGGAAATTTTGGAAATTTTTATTGCCTAATTATAAAAAAATGACAAAAAGATACAACGCAGACGGCGGTGGTTCGGATTGCAATGCAGTGCGATGGGGGCGAAAAGCATAATTGCCAATTTTAAGGGTTAACCTTAACATATAACGCACTTTTCAATTGAGCACAGTCTCCTTCTTCTTACTTGACCATAAGGAAACGTTTATTTGGTGATTATATTTATTACACGAATAGATATCCGAATCCGCTTCCAATTTTCTACCACTGAAAATTTATTTGGCAGGTCATCGGCCTTCATCATAAAATAGTAAAGTGTCAACAAGCTATTTCATTTTAATACTTCCAAATTAATGCTTAAAAGGGATCACTTTGTTTCCAGATTTTAATGAAGTTTTCTGAATGATTTACGGATTTCGTTATTAATCCAAAGGATATTGTATTACCGCGGTATTATGTGACAAGTTTTATTGAAAGTTAATTATGTATTTTAACATATGTGCGGTCACCGCAAACATAAACAAATATATTGTGTTACGTTATAGATAAATTACCTGCACATTTGTTGTGTAAATCAGTATATTTTTGCTGGTTTGCTGGTTATTTTCTGATCGATCAACATTTAAGACACAATCATAGATAGTGAAGAGAAATTGGATTTTTCAAACTTGGATTTATTGATAATTTTGAATCTTGAGTCTATTGATGAAATCGATTACAAACTTTGAGAAGACCCCTTGAGAAGTTTACCTAGATCCAATTCAGTAACTGTTATATAACTGTAACTGGTTAAGTAACTTTGTTTACTTGTCAACCAAAAAAAAACACAGTTAAAGAAACAGCTAGGGTGAAAAAAGCAAGGAGCCATTCAGTTGTTAGTAAGAGTAGTAGAGAAGTATTAGGTATAATACATCAACAATTAGGGGGTACAACTGAGGGGTGAGCTCAAAAGTATGCTGACAAAAAATGACATTTGAAACTTTAATCGCAAGAAACAGTTACAAACATTATTAACAAAATGAAAAAAAACAGATGATTGAGTCAATAGAATCAAAATTTGATGAAAAATCAATCAGTTTAAAAAAGTTAAATAAAAAAAAGATCTTGAATTTAAAAATAATGCTTTGAAAGATCAAATTGAAAAATTCGAAACACAAACCATGTCTGTAAATAAAGAAATAGCAGAAATGCTCAAATCTCAGGAATTATTGTTCAGAGAAACCAGTAAAAGGCAATTTTTAATGAACAATATTCAAGGAGGAATAAATTCAAAATAATGAATGTAAAAAAAGATAAAGGAGAAACAACTGAGAGTCTGACAGAAAAAAACACTGGACATTTTAAAGCTCTAAGAAAGTAAATTTTTCGCGATCAGAAGTCATAGCCATACAAAGGATTCCAGGAAGACCCCACACTTCAAAACCAGTAATTATCAGATAACTAACAAATGATGCCAAGTCACGGGTAATGAGGAAACGGGCAGAAATGAAGGCATAAGGATTTAGATTAGTTGTTGATGTTACACGAGCCAATCAACAATTGATAAACCGATTATAACTCAACTTGATGATTGCCAGTGCTTGTTTTTGCAATGGTACAGTATATGGATCAGACAAGAGAGGGAACAAACATGAATTTGATTTATATGACAATGTTGAAGAGAAACTATAAAGTGAATAACCATCCAATTATTAGAATAACTCAAAATTTTTCACAACAGACACATAGATGAAGACGACAGTAAGTTTTAAGTATATTTTTGAACTTTATTTTTACAAGTTAGGTTAAAAAATATGCTATTTCATGGTTTCTCGTGACATTCAATACAATATTTTATTATAAGTACTTATTTTTGTTTTCACTTTAAATACAAATATACTACTGTGTTAAGTTATATGCGTGTGTGACATTATATATCTCTCAAATAAAATGAATCCTTTCTACTATTATTATTATCTTTTTTTTTGATAATTTTTCCTTTATATATAAGAAATATTTGTGATGGTATTTCTTTTCTTCATATTAGAAATATCATGATTATGGATAAGTATCATCTTCATACTAGAATTATCATGATTATTGATGTTTGTGTTCTTTAGAAAGGCCATAGTAATAGATAATTTGAGCTATATATAGGGATTAACATAGTTATGTAAGACAACTTTCCTCATATTATATTATCAGAATAAGTCATGATTGTTTTTCTTCATAGTGAAAAGAGAATCGTTAGTTTTCTTCCTGTTAGAATTATCACATGTTTTGAGTACTTATCTTCGCAAAAGAATTATTGTTGTCATTAATAATCTTCTAAACTCATAAAAATAATGTATATTTTTTGATGATTTATTTTTGTATGTAAATTTTGGTATTTTGATAATTATCATCATATAAGAATTCACCTTTGATATTCGTTCTCTTAATGTAAAGACTGTCATATTTGAAAGAATAAAATGATAGATAACAGTATAAGACCATTACCATATCCTTGGTATCCTTTTGTGTTGTTATTATATTAAACAAGTAATTAGTAAGTATTTTAATTATAACTAGTAATCTTGAAAAAGCACTAGAGTTTTTTTTTGTTTGGATGTTTTTGAAAGAAATTCTTTATATATATTTTCATGTCCATGTTTTTTTTTCCATTTATTATTAATTCTTATGTATTTTTTCCCTAAGAAAACTAAGTATTTTATCCCTTTATTGTCGTGGCCTGAATGATAACAAGAAACGCATTAATGTATTTAACTTTTTAAAGGATTAAAAACACCATATTTATTGCATACAAGATACACATTTAACAAAAAAGCAGGAA